TGAATGATACTACAAGGAAACTTGGATTTTCAGGAAGGAATAAAACCATTAGAATGATAATGTGGGTACATATAAATGAGGGTTTTTTCCCATTGTTTAAAATGTATATGACAAAAAAATGTATAGGACTACTCAAAGCAAATTATTACATTGTGGAGTTTGTAAAATATGGTATCTGTAATACATATGACAACTATAAGATAACAAATGGAGGAATTGGGTAAACACCCCTATATGGTTACAAGGTTTCTATATGTTAAGTGAAGGGGTACAAATATGAACTGTAAATAGGTTATGTAAGGTTGAATATCTTGATATGGGCTTTGTTTACTCAAGTACATGCATTTATTACGATTCATGGATTAGTACACTTAACATTTTTGCATTTCATTGAATGTAAATTTTACCTATAAAGAAAAAAGAATTTTTAAAAAGTGGATCTCTAGCTAATCATATGCAAGTTGAATTCTATAGGAACAAAGTGTGCTGATGTCTGAAACTTATATTACCTGTATCAAAACAATAAGATGGGTTGATTGATGGACTGAGGGATGGATAAATATCTGCTGAAGTGAATGCAGTAATACTCTAATTGTAGAATCCACATAGTGGTTATATAGGTACTCTCTATAAAATATTTTAATTTTCATGCTTGAAAATTTTCTTTTTTTTTTTTTTTTTTTTTTTTTTTATAAATTAATTTTTATTGGTGTTCAATTTACCAACATACAGAATAACACCCAGTGCTCATCCCGTCAAGTGTACCCCCAGTGCCCGTCACCCATTCACCCCCACCCCCCACCCTCCTCCCCCTCCACCACCCCTAGTTCATTTCCCAGAGTTAGAAGTCTTTATGTTCTGTCTCCCTTTCTGATATTTCTCACACATTTCTTCTCCCTTCCCTTATATTCCCTTTCGCTATTATTCATATTCCCCAAATGAATGAGAACATACACCGTTTGTCCTTCTCCGGTTACTGTGGCCAAGTTCAAAAAGGGTGTTGCCTGAGTTCTCCTCTGGGATTTTGATGGAATCTTGTCTCACATTTAGATCTTTCATCTATTTTGAGTTTATCTTTGTGTATGGTGCAAGAGAGTGGTCCAGTTTCATTCTTCTGCATGTGGATGTCCAATTTTCCCAGCACCATTTATTGAAGAGACTGTCTTTCTTCTAGTGGATCGTCTTTCCTCCTTTATCGCATATTAGTTGAGCATAAAGTTCAGGGTCCACTTCTGGGTTCTCTGTTCTGTTCCATTGATCTATATGTCTGTTTTTGTGCCAGTACCACACTGTCTTGATGAACACAGCTTTGTAGTACAACCTGAAATCTGGCATTGCGATGCCCCCAGATATGGTTTTCTTTTTTTAAAATTCCCCTGGCTGTTTGGGGTCTTTTCTGATTCCACACAAATCTTAAAATAATTTGTTCTAAGTCTCTGAAGAAAGTCCATGGTATTTTGATAGGGATTGCATTATACGTGTAAATTGCCCTGGGTAACATTGACATTTTCACAATATTAATTCTGCCAATCCATGAGCATGGAATATTTTTCCATCTCTTTGTGTCTTCCTCAATTTCTTTCAGAAGTGTTCTGTAGTTTTTAGGGTATATTTTGAGAACCATTTGAATGGTAAATGGTTCTCCAACCTTTTATTTTCAGGTTGTAGGTGTCCTTCTGTCTAAAATGAGTCTCTTGTAGACAGCAAATAGATGGGTCCTGTTTTTTTATCCAGTCTGAAACTCTGCGCCTTTTGATGGGGTCATTAAGCCCATTCACGTTCAGAGTTACTTGAACTTCTTCTTAAAGGGGAGTTTTAAGAGTCCCCCTTAAAATTTCTTGCAGAGCTGGTTTGGAGGTCACATATTCTTTCAGTTCCTGCCTGTCTTGGAAGCTCTTTATCTCTCCTTCCATTTTGAATGAGAGCCTTGCTGGATAAAGTATTCTTGGTTGCATGTTCTTCTCATTTAGGACCCTGAATATATCCTGCCAGCCCTTTCTGGCCTGCCACGTCTCTGTGGAGAGGTCTGCTGTTACCCTAATATTCCTCCCCATGAAAGTCAGGGACTTCTTGTCTCTTGCTGCTTTAAGGATCTTCTCTTTATCTTTGGAATTTGCAAGCTTCACTATTAGATGTCGAGGTGTTGAACGGTTTTTATTGATTTTAGGGGGGGATCTCTCTATTTCCTGGATCTGAATGCCTGTTTCCCTTCCCAGATTGGGAAAGTTTTCAGCTAGGATTTGTTCAAATACATATTCTGGCCCTCTGTCCCTTTCGGCGCCCTCGGGAACCCCAATTAAACGTAGGTTTTTCTGCCTCAGGCTGTCGTTTATTTGCCTTAATCTGTCTTCATGGTCCTTCAATTGTTTATCTCTTTTTTCCTCAGTTTCCCTCTTTGCCATTAACTTGTCTTCTATGTCACTCACTCGTTCTTCCACCTCGTTAACCCTCGTCGTTAGGACTTCTAGTTTGGATTGCATCTCATTCAATTGATTTTTAATTTCTGCCTGATTGGATCTAAATTCTGCAGTCATGAAGTCTCGTGAGGCCTTAATGCTTTTTTCTAGAGCCACCAGTAGCTGTAGAATAGTGCTTCTGAATTGGCTTTCTGACATTGAAGTGTAATCCAGATTTTGTAACTCTGTGGGAGAGAGGGCTGTTTCTGATTCTTTCTTTTGAGTTGAGGTTTTCCTTCTAGTCATTTTGCTCAGTGCAGAGTGGCCAGAAACAAGTTGTATTGGAACACGGGGGAGTATCACTGGCCCCTCTAGCTGGTCTTCTGGGGGAGGGGCCTGTTGCGTTGATTTTCAGGTGTTAGCACTTGGGGGAGCTGCTCTGCCCCTGCCTGCTGCAGGGCTCTGCGGGGGTTGTTTACCCCGCCAGGCCCCAGGAGGAACAGCAGCAGTTGCTATGGCAACTCTGGAAGCCTGGATTCAGCCTCCGCAGGAACTACGGGGCTCGGGGCTCTCGGCTCTCCGTCCGCAGGGCCTGGAGGCTCCGGGGCGGGGCCGCTGATCTGCTCAGCTCGGGGCAGGAGCGTCCTCGCTGTCTCGGGCCCTCCCGGCCTCTGCCTGTCCCGGGGGAGGCCGGATCCTGGGCTGTGTCCCGGCGCCCTGTGCTCCGGGGCCTGCGCTGTTGGATTCGCGCTCCCGCCCTGCAGCTCCCTCCCTGGAGCCGCTCCCGAGCCCCTCCGAGCTGCTCCGGTCGGTCCCTCCGTGCGCGCTGCAGCCCTTAGGGAGCTCGGAGCACTCTCCTGCGCTCGCAGGTGTCTGTTAGTGTCCCCGGGAGCCCGAGGGCATCCCCGCCCTCCTGGGTCCTGCTCCACCTCCCTGCGAGCCCCTTTCCGCCCCTTTCCGCCCGCCCGGGAAGGTTGGTGCAGCTCCTGCTCCTCCGGGACGGGGCTCTCCTGTCCTGGGGACACTCGCCCCGGCCTCAGCCCGGCTCCTCGCGGGGCCCCTCCCCCTCGGAGGCCTTTTGTTCCTTTATTTCTTTTTCCCCGTCTTCCTACCTTGATAGAAGCGCGAACTCTTCTCACTGTAGCATTCCAGCTGGTCTCTCTTTAAATCTCAGGCCGAATTCGTAGATTTTCAGGATGATTTGAAGGTTATCTAGGTAATTTGGTGGGGACAGGTGATTTGGGGACCCTGCTCTTCCGCCATCTTGCCCCTCCCTCCATGCTTGAAAATTTTCATTAAAAAATGTTAAAAAAATAATACTGCCAATCTACATATATAATCTGGCCAGGGCAGAAAAAAATAAAAACAGGAAAAAGGGGAAAGTTGGAAATGGAGGATACAAAAAAGAAATATAAGGAAAGAAAAGAGAATACAACTAAAACAGAGGTAGAGAAAAACCTAATGGTAAGGGAGAGACAGGGATAGGAAAAAAAAAAAGGAGATAGAGAGGGCAAGATGCCTGCCATTCAAGGGAAAATACAAATGATACAATGTTATCATTACTGTTGGTCTTCTCAAAGTTTTCAATAAAGTTTTGAAGTTAAAAATTACAAAGAATTATTTTGTCATGGAATTCAAAATTATGCACATGTGAAAATTTAGGTGTTTTCCTCAAGATCTGAGAACTTGTTTGCTTCCAGCCTAAAAGTCCCTTTGACTTCCAAAACTGTCACTACCTATGTCTTGTCACTGAAAATTCTTAGGACATCACTGTAGTTGTTATATTACCAACCACTATTCACTTAGGACCAGATCTGGAAAGAAGCTGGGACTGTACACTTCTGGTAAAAAGTTTCTACTCTTCTGAGTTCCTCCCCCTTGACTAGCAGCTCTACTCATCACATAGTGTCTCATTTCAAAGCTGTTGCTTTTTACTTAGCAGTATTCCCAGGAAACTTCTGACTTACCATATAAATAAATATACTGTTCTTTATCATTTCAATGCTACATATTTCATAATTATAATTGTTAATTAAGCCATGTTTATACACTTGCTCTCCATGAAGCACTATTTTTCTTTTCGTTACCACTCATGTAATATCTATGAAGGCAGGGCCTATGTCTAGGTATCACCACTACCCAGCCCAGTGTTTAGTACACAGAAGGCCCTTAGTAAATATTTATTGAATGAATGAATGAATGAATGAAGATAATTTATTCATTTATAATATCCCTTTGTCAACTGATTCTAAACAGAAATCAAGTTAAGAGAGTGGTAAAGCTTGACTAATTACAAAAGATATAGGTTCTAAAACCATTCTGTTCGTATGTACATGAATCCCAGATTTTAACATAATTTGCTATCTCAAATGCTTTAAAGGACTTAATGAGAAATGAGTAACTCAGAACTTTTAAAAATGGAAAGTTAAGTGATGAATTTATACTATAAAAATAAGTGCTTGTTTTGCTTATTACTAGTAATAAATCAATACTCTTTTTCAAAGTTCAAAGGAAAGAGAAACTGGTATTGGTTTTTATCCAAGTGAGATCCAACTTTTATGAAAATAATAAGCTCAGATCACAATCAAATAAATTTCAGAACTCAGTTTGAGAGAAAAAGAAAAGGCTTTAGTTAAAATCTTTACAATAAAATAATTATGATTATAAATCTCTTTAGTTAAATATGTACACATTACATGGTATTTTAAAAAAGAATGAAAATGAGTAGTTTTTCAAGCAAATCTAATGCACAAATATACCATCTTTTAGAGTATGTCAGTTTAACATTCTTAAACAGCTGTGTCAGACAATGGCTCTGCTTTGTGCAAAACATGATAAGCAAAATTAAGAAAAATTCTGCAAAATTCTTTAGTTCCCCAAGGAAATTACTAAAAAAGAAAATAGTAAAAGAAAAAAAAGGTGTACACTCGAGCTTGATTGTATATAGAGGCTAGAATGACCAGCACTAATGTAACCCCCATATCTGCTAAATAAGTCCTTGGGTAACTTTAGTTTGAAGTTAATAGTTGAAGTCCTAGCAATTGTGCTTTTATGCAGCCACATGGCCAATAAGGTAGATGTTGTCATACAGGTGCCCTACAAAATCTTCACTAATGTTTTGAGCAGCACGACGGGTATTTCGAATAAATTCTCTTTTTGACATTTTATTCTTCACATGAGGGCTAGTGAGGTCAATGGAAAGTAGAATCAAAGAGTAGCACAGTACATAGACAGCATCTGGAATTAAAAATAAACACCTCAAATTATTAGGTGGTTTGAAAAATATCCCAAAGGCATTATCTAATATGATAATCTTCATAATTTAAAGAAATTGAGATTAGATCATCACTATACAGAATGGCCAACTCATCCCAGTTTGCCTGAGCCTTTTCCAGTTTTAGCATTGAAAATCCTGTGTCCTGAACATGATAGACTCCTAACTCTGGGAAACGAACTAGGGGTGGTGGAAGGGGAGGTAGGCGGGGGGTGGTGGTGACTGGGTGGCGGGCACTGAGGTGGGCACTTGACAGGATGAGCACTGGGTGTTATTCTGTATGTTGACAAATTGAACACCAATAAAAAATAAATTTATTGGAAAAAAAAAGAAAAAAAAGAAAATCCTGTGTCCTGGGAAACTCTTCAGTCCTGGACAAACAAGGATGGTTGATCATCCCAACTAACAATTCACTGAGTATTTTCTTTAACTAATAAAGAATTTTAGAATAGTTCAAGATTTTATAGTGAAAGCTCATTCTAAATTTAATAATTTTAGAATTGGCTTTATTTTCATCATTGCTTTCAAATGTGATATTTCCATTCAACTACCCATAAAATACACTTGAAATGTTAGTATATCTATCTTCCCATTAAAAAAAAGCCACATATTTACATAGAATGTTTTTTATAAAAATATAATTGGGGGGCAGCCCAGGTGGCTCAGAGGTTTAGCGCCGCCTTCAGACCAGGGCCTGAACCTGGAGACCCAGGATCGAGTCCTGTGTCGGGCTCCCTGCATGGAGCCTGCTTCTCCCTCTGTCTCTGCCTCTCTCTCTGTGTCTCTCATGAATAAATGAATAAAATCTTTAAATTAAAAAAAAATATATATATACATATATATAACTGGGAAGTATTTAATGACAAAGACATGTATTAACTTAGTACTCAAAAATAAAAAGTAAACAACTTTTAAGATTATTAACTTAATATCCTCATTTTAGGTATGTATTTTAAAGGTCCATGGAATTTATGTATCAGTATCAAAAGTAAATTTTTAGAGAAAAGATTGCTAAACCTGAGTAGCATGCAACAACAACAAAATGTCTTTATATATGCCCAAGGCAATATCGGATGTTTACTATCAAAATAGTAACAAACCTCAAGATACTTGCTACTATAATTTGCTACAACTACTTGCTACTACTATGGGGTTTTTATTTCAGATTCTTGTAGTCTTAATAAAGCAAAATTGAACATTTTGTCTTATAAAAGCATTTTCAACAAATTTCATATGATGGGTAAATGTTTTACAATCTCCACTTAATAAACACAATAAAATTTTTGAGATAAGAAAAGTAGAGCTCTGTCAAATGAAGAAATACACAGGATACTCAGGCTATCTTGTACGCACATAGATATATACTTATACACACAAGTTATAAAAATTAGTTGTATTAAAAAATTTTAGAAAAATTCTAGGTGTTAACCTATGTAATATGTGGACTATGAAAAGCTTCAAAAATAATTTCTCAAGTTTTTAGTTAAATTAGTAATAATATGTAATTCTCAAACAAGAATTTTTTTTTTTAAGGGAAGTTTCCCAAAGGACTTTCTTTCTTTTTTTTTTTTTAATTTTTATTTATTTATGATAGTCACAGAGAGAGAGAGAGGCAGAGACACAGGCAGAGGGAGAAGCAGGCTCCATGCACCGGGAGCCCGATGTGGGATTCGATCCCAGGTCTCCAGGATCGTGCCCTGGGCCAAAGGCAGGCGCCAAACCGCTGCGCCACCCAGGGATCCCCTCAAACAAGAATTTTAATGAATTTATAGCTAAGTCTTTCTTCCTACAAGTGTGTTTACTACATATAAATGACAACTATGATAAACTATTCTAAGCTCACATAAATGTTGTATTCTACAGAATTAGTCATTGCTACAAGTAGTAAAAGAAGTATTCGTAATTACTGAAAGAATGCTTCCCCATGGTGAGAAAAAAATGCCTCATGTATGACTATTTTTACCTGGAGATGGGAAGGGGGATAGAAGAAAGTCACTATATATATTCTTACCAGGACTAAGGCCAAGTTCTCGCATTAAATCAGGGTTACAAGCACAGAATCTATGTGAGAACTTTGTTATGAGAGTTTCAAGATATTCTCCACGCTCTTCAGGGGCATGGATATGACGAAAAAATTCTCTCAGTGCATTGGGCAAAAATTGATTTCTAAAATTATGCAATGTTACAAGGTCATCCAAGACATCTCTCCTAGTGGAAAAAAGAAAAAGATACAGCTTTAGTTAACATTTCTTCACTTAAAAAATGATAAAGACTCATAAATTATGTTTTTGGGTGAAAATATTTTATTACTAATTTTAGATCACCTACTCCTACAAAGCATACATAATCCTTAAAATTAAAAAACATACAGCTCTGATTAATTTTTAAATCTCTTGTGGATAGGTTATAATAAAGTAAGGTAAATTTAGTAATTCTATTTAGACTTTAGTAATTCTAAATATAAAATGAATTAAAAATAAATTTTGCAATATTAAAAGGGCCAGGTTCTTTTCAAGTGTCTTTTTGGCTAAATTCAAACAGTAACAGAATTCTTTATGTTTTTACCTATAAAAATAAGAAGAGTTCTCACTTTCCACACCAATCCATACCACCAAAGGTAACAACTATTTATGTAGGCTTAAAAATAAAATGTCAACATATAGTATATATTTTTTCTAGTATTTGTTTTTATTTCATATGATATACTGTGAACAGTTTTCTATGTCTTTGCACACAGATCTAAGTCATTCTTTTTAATGACTCAACAGTATCCCATCTTATGGATGTAACAATTCTACTTATATACATTTAGGCTATCTATAATTATGCAAATATTTGTGTATATGTGTGTACATATGTGTGTATATATTTGACTAAATATATGTATGTATGTGTGTATATATATTTTTTATGTATACATATATATTTTTATCAATGGCATTCTAATAAATAGCCATCCTTTATTATAATATGGTTCCAATTCTTGCTGAACTTAACTATGATTATATGACCATAATCTTTAATTTCTACCAATTGTTTAAGGTAGGGATAGGAAAATTATAGTTACTAGGCCAAATATGACCTACTATCTATTTTTGCAAATAAAATTTTGTTAGAACACAGTCATACTCATTTGTTTACAGACTGCGTTTTCAGGCTACAATGGCAGCTATAAATAGCTGCAAGAAAAATTTCTCCACTAGATGACTGAAATGTAGTATGGTTTTAAAAGTAAAGTAATGCTTTTAATGAATTAAGCTTTACTAATTTCTGATGAAAACTTTAAAAAAATTGTTTTTACCTTTCATCAAGATAGATTCTCAGTTTTTTCCAATTTAGTGTTCTTGTACAGAAGATAAACTTTGCTATTTCCTTTGGTGAGTCATCTAGGATACCCTTGGACATAAAGTAGTTCACTCCCTAAGGCAGAAAGACAAGTCTACATAAATAAAGTCAGTCTTTATTTGTAAATTTTAACAATTAGGCAATAGCAGAACAATAGCCATAAATTCTTTCCAGCATTAATAGACTTTTTATAGCTTTAACATGCAAAATACAAGCTAGAACTTGAGCTGAAACTATTACTTGTGGTTGATAGTTTACATGCAATGAAAAGTAGGAAATTCAAAGTTAAGACTCCTAAAGAAATCCTAATTCAATTTTCTGGCTCATGTCAGGTAAAACTAACTATATGGAAATACAGCTTACATGGTAGTGGTGGCTGGGGGAGGAACTACTATACAGATTTTAAAATAAGCCTTGTAGCCAATGCTTTTCCACTGCCTAATAAAAAACATGATTTCTTAAAGACATAGTCTAATACACTATTCAAGGAAAAAGCTTGAGAATAAGATTCTCCAAATCAAAGATCAACAAATTTATTCTGTAAAGAAAAAGAATTAAAATTTAACTTAAACTAGGCCCAGTTCCAGGCAGGTTTATGGTCTATACACACTTTAGGCATCATTACATTCTATGAAAATTTAGCTTCAACATATAGTGAGGCAAAAATGTAAGAAGACAAATCAATTTTAATGTTTTTTTTTTCATAGGATTTATCTTTGAATTTCCTTTTCCCTGCATGCAAAGTTTTCCAGAGAAGCATTATCCACAGTTTGTCCCTATCTTAGATTTAAATCAACAACAACAAAACATCAACAAAAATATTGAACACTGAAACCAATGTTTTCTCATGTATATGGAGGTCACATTCAAATAAATACCTTATGTGGATTTGAATGTGCAGTTATTGAAATAAAAGGCAGGTGTGTTTATTTCAACTCATAGTTATCCAGATACATGCGTTCCCATGAATACTTATGTCTGGATAATAGCACACTGTGTGCAGTTAATTAGTAGAGAAAATGATGTATTATATACACGCAACATACTGTTTTCACACATAAATTCCTTCAGTATTTCTTCCCTTTTACAAACACATATAGTACTCAGAAATGTTGCACCCATTAAGAATCCAAAAAGTTAGAAGAATTTTTATGACTCTTCGAGATAAAAAAGTCTCATAAAATTTTTATATTAAAAAATTACAAAGCAATTTGGTACCATGAGGTAATGCCTTTGAAAGTTTATAATTATCTGTAAATTGTAATTCAAAGATAAGATTTTTAATATAAAACTAGTTTTATGAGCCATGAGGATAATTTCCTAATGGCAATGTTATCAGTTTCTCATGTGAATTTTAATAGTACAAAAGCAGTGCTAAAGCACTAATTTCAAAAATGTATATAAGAAGGGCAGAATGTGATAACATGAAACTTTCTTGTCAACTCAATCATAAGCCATATTTCAGACTGCATCCTGTATACAAAGCTAGGAAATACAACATGGTCAAGATGGAAAGCCAAACAATTTGTTTGGAATGAGACTCTCAGCAATTATCTGAGGGGGGCAGGAACTAAATAAATAGTAATGCTTGTTCCATCCTTTCCTCCATTAGTTTGAATAATCGAGAGTTGACTGTATGTTTTAATTTCATCTACTTAGTAAAAAATTATCAGGTTTGATTTTTTCCAAAATTCCTCCATTTAAAAGAATATTTCAGAAGTATTTGCAGTGCTTAATTTTAATCTAAGTAATTCAAACCCCAAGGGACACCAACTAAATATTATTAAATAGCTTTTTTATTTATAACTACTTGTAAATCAATATTTCAGAATGTAAAACTAATTCTAATCAATTTATAAAACTATACAAAATATTAAAAAACACTAAAGATCCATTAAATAATACATAATTCTCTATATGATATATGTGTTTTAATATCATTTGCTGCTTCTTAGTTACAAATGAACATTGGTATTTGCCTCATGTAAGCATCCTAAAAATATGTTGATAATTTCCTTTTTTAAGAAATACATGTTTTAGGAATTTAATCTTTCACCTAATTTGAAGTCTCCAAGATCACTCATATACAGAGGAGTAAGCATGAACACAGTCATACAGCTTTAAACTCAATCCTGAAAATGAAGGACACAGGTTGAAATAAGCCAACTCTGTTGGTTTTATGAGGAAAGGAGGCATCAGTTTTCAAGCCTGGGATTTCTCTGGATAGGAAGATTACTTCAGAAGGGCTATCAAAGTGAAGGGTCAAGGGATGTGAAATAGGAAAAGGCATAAGATCAGATTATAATTTTCTTCAATAAGCAAGCTGGCAACCATCTGAATTCCTATCTTGTTACATAAGCAATGAACTACAAAAGAAAACACAGCAAGAGATTTGTTGAATAACCATACATTTGTTTAATAAGTGGTATAAGGATTTTTTTTTTTATTTTTAATACAGTTTTAGAAGAATGGTATAGAGAAATCCCTAGAACACATAGCACATTACTAATCTGGACTAGGGCTCTCAGCAGAGTGAGAGTATGCATGTGGTGTCTCACAGACAAAGGAAATCATGAATATTAATATTAGTCTATACTAACAGTTTCCAGAAAAGGGGAAGGCTGTAGAAAGTGTCAGAAAAGGCACTACTTTCCACATAATTCACTATAAAAGTGTCTGATTCTGGATGTCACATTTTGTGGGGCATACTGACAAACTAGAATTTATCTGGATAAAGGAAATCAGGACCTGATAAGATTGTTGAAGGGTCTAGAATTCCTGTTAGATAAGAAAGAGGTGAAGGATGTAGTGATATTAGCCCTAAAGAACATACTTAGGAAAGAAGAGTAAGACTAAGACAGCTGAAAGGCTTTATCAGAAGGAAAAAGGAACTGGCATTATGTGTAGTTTTAGTGAAGATCTTAAACTGATTAAAACTACAGAACTTCTTCCCAGAAAAATTCACATACACATTTTTAAATTATAAATTAAATGCCTGAAGCCTAAGTAAGGACTGCAGGTTAGGAATCCCTATTCTAGATGATGTAGGAGCATGGTTACTGAGTGCCAGTAGTAGGAAGAAGGTTAGAGCCATGTAAGGAAGGTCATGCTTGCAATTTTACAGCTGAGTTGTTCAAGGCCAATAGCTCATCATTTGTTTGATTCATTTTTTTTATATTTCCAAAATAAGCTTAAGTTTCAAAATTATTAGTTTATTTTGGTTGCTTAATCTTCACACATTTTACTCCATTATCTCTTCACTGTTCAACTTGCAGAATTATCTGAATTGTTAGAGTCATATTCCTTTTCTTTCACATGGGAATAATTCTAAGACATTTTTGTCTTTCAACTCGAAGATAAATTATGATAGTGTCAGTCCTATAATGAATTGGCTCCTTAGCATAAAGGGAAGTTTTTGTCATCTGGAAGAAAACTATTGATCAAAATGGATTTTATTTAAAAAATAGTTTTAAAGGACTGTTACAGTGGGATAAATAAAATTCCTGTTATGAAAATAGATTGGATATATACATTAAGATTCATATTTCTCTGGAAAATCATAAACATATATATTCATATTAAAAATCTTAAATTCTTTAGTAAGGTGTTTAACTTTTATTTAAGAGAGAGCATGTGTGTGAGCGTGTGTGTGTGAGAGTGTGTGTGTGTGTGTGTGTGTGTCTGCACTCCATGCTCAGTGCAGACTAGGAACTTGATCTCACAACCCTGAGATCATGACCTGAGCTGAAATTAAGAGTCAGATGCTGAACCAACGGAGCCACCCAGACGCCCCAGTAATGTGATTTTTAAAAGTATCCATTTAACTTTAGATTTAAATATAAAGATAGACACTCAAAGACTAGTTTGTAAAACAGATGTAAGTATGCTGTATATATGTGTAGATAGGTATGTATCTGCTTTAAAAGCATTTCTGAAATACTGACTCAAAATATATTAAAATGATCTATATCTTCACTTAAAATGTATTAAGTGCAAGGTATATATGCAAGGTATTCAGTGATAGACACTGAGAAGTATACATTTTTGCTCTAAGAAAATCTAAAGTTTATCTGGGGAGATGAGATAGGTACACAAATAACTAGTAAACGAGTATGACAAATTAATGATACAAGGCAGTCAAATAGGGCCTAGATGAACAAGTATGAAAAATAAGCACTTCAGTAGTTCAGGAAAGGAAAAATCACTGTGGGACAGGACACTTAGACAAGTTTTCCTGGGATATCTACTTTGAAGGAATGGTACAAGTTTAGATAGCTCAGAATGAGGGGAACACTGGAGATGAATATTTTACTTGATATAGTGTATGAGCAAAAGCATTATAAGATTAAAAAAAAAGGCAATTTTCAGGAAATAGGGAAACTATTTTGGGTTTGAGAACAAGTCTGGAACCAAACTGTAGTAGGAATAGCACTGAATTTTAAGGTAAGAAGTTTATTTTCTACCTTATAGGTAACTGGAAGCCTCTTAAGGCTTTTTAACATGATGAAGCAATGGCCTGTAATATAAATTTGATAGTAATATAAAGAGAAATAATAAAAGGGAAATTACACAGTAGGCTACTACAATTGTCCAGGCTTGAAGCAAAATAAATGCAAAGGAAATAATCTATTCTAAAAACATATGAAAAAATCCCCCACACATGTTACATATGTATATGAAAATAAGAAGTGAGAGCACATGTTACCATGCTGGCTATCAAGCCAAGGAATAATGAAAAGTGAAAAATAAAGTTAACTGATGTTTCTGGCTTAGACAAAAAGGGAAATGACTGACAAGGGGGAAAAAATTCACAGGTTATAGAGAGTGTTGATTTAAAGGAAACAGTAATGGGTTTGGACTTCAAAATTTTGGACTTTCAGGTGATGACAGATAAAACTAAAAGGGAAAGTAGGCAGTTGGCAATGTAACAAGACATTAAAAAATGCAGGTTCAAGGTACAGACTAAGGATCTTGAATAAAAAGAATCAATCAGTAAAGGAGTAGCCAGAGATGGAAGAAGGCAGATACAGAATAACATCCCAGAGGCTAAAAATCATTGAAATGTAAAGAAAAGG